AAAACAAAATCTAAAAACATACACTATTTAATCAATGTCTCATTGTTGGACATTTAAAAAACATTGCTAGATTTACAAAATTCTAAAAATAATAAAAATAAGAAATACAAAAACAGTGTGAAATGATTTAATATTTCTGATTTGAGAGGCACTTTAGGTTTCTGCAATGCTCTAACAGCATTAATATGGCTATCATTTAGATACTCCTCCAAATTGTGCTTACTTGGGCATTATGGGTATTGACTTCTAACTTATTTTTATTTTTTTGAGTCAGAGTCTCACTCTTGTTGCCCAGGCTGGAGTGCAGTGGTGCAACCACAGCCTTGACCTCCTGGGCTCAGGTGATCCTTTCCCCTCAGTCTCTTGAGTATCGAGAACTACAGGCATGTACTACTATGTCTGGCTAATTTATTTTATTTTACTTTTGTGGAGACAGGGTCTTATTGTGTTACCTAGGCTGGGCTTGAACTCCTGGGCTCAAGCGATCCTCCCACCATGGCCTCCCAAAGTGCTGGGATTACAGGCGTGAGCCACCACATCTGGCCCTATCTGATATCTAAATAATGGGAAGCGGAATAAATTAAAGACCTCAAGAAGACAGTTTAACTTTGGAAATGTTGAACAGGATTTCCTTCTGTTTAAAAAATAAGAAACCAACCAAACACCATATCTGCATTCATCTAGAAGTCTGAGAACCCTGACATCAAATCTCTTGACTTAACATGAATCTTTACTTTTTAGGAAGTTGGCCCATCAGGGAAATTCCAGAGTGGATGTCTGTTGAGCTTTAAACTCCAGACGGGTTGTCACATGCATGCCACCAGCTCCAGAGCTAAAAGTGGAGGTGCTATGAGTTGCTTTAAACACTGGATCGCACTTCCCTGTGACAGCCCCAATGCCTCCAGGTCTGAGTGAACCTAAGTCATGTAGGTTTTTTTTTGCATTTTTTTGTGGTTAATTCCCTCTACCCTTTTCCCTTTCCCTACTTTGGTTTTTTTACTTTCAGCGTAGTTTGTTTTTTTTTATTTTTAGAGACAGGGTCTTGCTCTGCCACCTAGGCTGGAGTAGTATTGTGATCATAGCTCACTGTAGCCTTGGACTTCTGGGCTCAAGGAGTCCTCCCACCTCAACCTCCCAGGTAGCTGGGACTACAGATGCATGCCACCATGCGCAGCTGATAATTTTATTTTTTGTAGAGACGAAGTTTTGCTCTGTTGCCTAGGCTGTTCTCCAATGCCTGACTTCAAGTGATCCTCATAATTCAGTCTCCCAAAGCACTGGGATTACAGATGTGAGCCACTGTTCTTGACTGATCATTTCAAATATGATCATTTCAACTCTTAAATGATCATATTTGGACAAAGACGTACTGACCCTGAGGAACGGATGGTGTGGTTACAGGTGGGCTCAACTTACAGCACTATTTGCTATTTCATTTTCCCCCTGATTTTCTCACCTGGATATCTAGGGTCAATTGTATATCTCCTTCAAATCTATAGGTTTTTTATTTTGTAAAATTCCCTGGGTTAAAAAAAAATTTGGTGAAAAGAAATGTACAAATAAAAACAAGGTTTATTATTAATATAACTCCACCACTCACGGTTTAAATGGTTTAACCCATAGTTAAAATTTGGGTGTGTATTCTGTGAATGTATAAACAATTTTTAGAAATTGGGATTACATATATGTTTTCTATACTGCTTGGTCTCTGCCTCAGCCTCCTAGATGGGTGGGACTACTGGCCTAATTTTTGATTTTTTTGCAGGGACAAGATCTCACTTTGCTGGTCAGGCTGGTCTCGAGTTTCTAGGCTCAAGCCATCCTCCCGCCTGAGCCTCCTAAAGTGCTGGGAGTACAGGTGTGAGCTGCCATACCTGGTTGCTGTATAATCTTGAATGAGTTACTCAAACTCTCTGAGTTTCAGTTTCCTCGCCTTTAAAATAGATCATAATAGCACCTGCTCCCGGATTGCCAGAAAGCATGAGTCAGTTCTACTTGGAAAGCACTTAGAACAGTGACAAGAGCACAATGAATGCTCAAAAATGTTAATCAACATTGAGATTTTTATTATATGAATACTATTTTGTAATCTGCCTTAAAAAAATACACTGCACATATTTTCTCACATTAATCATGACTATTACATGACTTTGTTGCCTGACCTCAAACCCATTCTATGACTATACCGAAATTTATTTTATCAGTGTTCCCTTTTTGGACACATTGTTTTCAGTGTTTTGCATGGTAACAAGTAATCCTACAGTAAATGTTTTTGTGTATACATTCTTGGGTACATCTCTGATTATTTCTTAGGGCAAGTTCCTAGAAGTAGAAAGCTGAATTAAGGGGTAACAGCCCTTTTTAGGCTTTTGCCAGAATGCCCTCCAGAAATGTCCCGTGAGTTTGTGCTCCTGACATATGAGGCTTCTGTTTCCTTATGGCTTCCTGCACTGAGTATTAGGCTTCTAAACACTTTTTGCCAGTCTGTGATTTTCACAGTCAGCTCTCCGTTTTCCGATGGCCTGCCCTCCTGAGGCATTCATTTTCTTGAATCCTGAGTCCCTTGTGAGCTGCTTCCCCTCCTCTTTTAATCTGCCATGTCCTTTAATCTTAAATTCCTGTCCAGTAACTGTTCCAAGCCTTTCTATTCCTTTCTGATTTCCTCACACCATTTCCCTTCCACCCATCTGGAGTTAGACTATAGTGTCTGTCTTGATCAGGTGTGAGCTGTGCATTTAGTGGACGGGGCAAGGGAAGACAGGCACTTCTTTTTCTCATGGAGCCCAGATCTAACCGAAAATGAAGCTATTCCCAAACAGACTCATCTACTTGATAAACTATTGCCTGAACTATTTAGCTGTAGAGAAGAGCATCTTAAAGCTGCAGAAGGTGTACTTGCTCTGGGCAGTAAGTGAACCTGCAGATCTGTCAGTGTCCAGCCAGGAAGATGGAAACTACTCTAAGTATTGAAACACAGAAGGGATTTAATTCAGGGAATTGGCCACACAGGTGACTGGGGAGCTCAGAAGCCAACCAGGTGGTGACGCAACATTGAGATCAGTAACCTTAGAAAGCTAGGGGCCCATGGGAGGAGGTGGCGGGTCGTCTGGAGGAGTCTGGGGCCATAGTGGACCTATCTCTTGGGAGCTTCCTGCAGATACTTCTTGTCACTGGAAGCCGGGTGAGAGGGGAGAAACACCCTGATTTTCCTTGCCTTCTTCTCTCATCTCCTCCAAGTGTCCACCATTGGCAAGTTCACCCAGAAGCCAGTTGACGCAGATGTTTCTGGAGTTGTATGTAGCCTGTGGCTACCTGCCCGTGATGAGAACAGGTGAAGGGGGTGGGGGGTGGGGGGAGAGGGGGATCTCAGAGCAAACAGACCAAGGCCAAGCACGGTGACACCAAAGTCCCTTCAGGTTCACAGATGGCAGGACAAAGAGCAAAACATGCTGAACCTGGAGAGGTAGACAGTGCTGGTTTGGACCTGGCTCTGTCTTGTACTAGTGCTTGGCCTTGGACAAATCACTTACCTGTTCAGTTTCTTCATCTATAAAAGGAATAAAACAAACAAAAAACATGTCTCACAGACTCACTGCAAGGACATGTCAATACATAAAATATCAGCTGTAAAGTAACAGCATTCAACAACAGGGGGTTTCTTTTCATCCACAGATCTATGGTTTTAAGACAAAGGACAGTTGGGTATTTGGTCAAGGTCATCAAATATCTCTATTTTGAAAGATGGGAAGGGGCAGAGGAAGCTTTCCTTCTGGAAGCTCTGCCTCAGGTCAGGACAGGTGATAAGTTGCCCAGTGATTCTGGGAGATGATCTAGGAAACGTTGAAAACATCATGCATGACTGTTCTTTCATCCCACAAACATCTGGGGGAACTCACTATCTTTTGGAAGTGATTAGACATGATCCCGGCCCTGGAGGAGACGTTATTCCATCAGGAATGACAGATGGTCAAAGAGAGAAATCTCAGTGTGTGATAATAAATAATAGGGGAATGTCTGCAGAAAAGGGTGCCATGGAATATCTCCACCCAGGGAAGTGGGAGAAGATCTTGTTAGAGGTAATATTTGAGTTGTGTTTTGAAGGAGGGGTAAGAGTTTGCCAGCTATTGAAGCACGTGCAAAGCGTCACGAAAGGGGGGCTGGATAATGGTGAGCTAGGGTGGAATCTAGAGCGGTCCGTGGCTGAGGTGGTGGGAACATTCGGGAGACATGGCTAGACACAGAGGTGAAAGTCAGTACATGAAGGGCCTGGTGTGGGAGGCCCGTGCCTTTATTTGGTGGAGACTGAGAGTCAGCAGAGACTTTTACGTGAGACAGTAACCCACCAACTCTAACCTAGAATTTCATAAAGTGACACATCTCCCCAGACGGTCTCATGGCCTCAGCCAGAGGGCTGACGCGTGCAGTTCTAGACAGCAGGAGCCATGTGTCCATCTCACAAGACATCAGAAAGTATGAATCAGAAAAACCAGCACGAGGTTTCCCCTTCATGTTAAATTCAGAATGGAAAAAGTCATTAACTCATCCTGCAGACGCTGAAGGGCTCAAGGTAAATATTTAAAATGTTCTCCCTCTCGTTCCCACAAAGCCACGAACATCAGAGGTGGATGATGGTGCTTGTGGCTACGACGAGACAGGATTTCAAGGGTTCTGATGAGACGTCTGCTGGCCTGAATCTGTCTGCATGCTGAAAAGGACTTGGTGTCACTGCTGCTGAAAGGAAATCGCAGCATGGTGATGACACTGCCTGAGTGCTTTGCAGAGCCTTGTTACACACATTGTCTCACTTTAGCTTCATGACAATTGTGTGCAACAGATAGGGCCCGGGGTGCCATTGATCCCATCTTAAAGATGAAGAAATGGAGGGCTGAGAGTTTCAGGCCTTCTCTAGCGTCCAGGAAGAGGTGACACCCAAAGTGGCATCTGGATCTGTAGACCAATCGGCCAGCACCTTTCCCAAACCCAGGGGCCGCCCGGCCTACCTGTGTCCTTCCATATGCCAGGATGGCTTCTTGGAGGTCTTGGAGTGTGTGCAGTCTGAGGTCCAGTCTCCGCTTGTAACCCCTGGGGTGATAGGGGCCTTTTCTCCTCTCTTGGGGCATCCATGCTGAAATGGCTAAGCCTTCTGAGTAGAGGACCAGAGCCCCCTTTCTGGTGCTGAAAGTCTTAGGAAGAAAGAGGCTCCAGGAGTGCTGGTGGGTCTTGTCTTTATCCTGTGGTGTGCTGACCAGGACGTAGTCTTCTGGGGACTTCCAATTCAAGTAATCCTGCAGTGAAAATGAACCAGCTTGATGTGGCCACGTGGGAGACCATTCTAGAGCAAACACTGCTGGTGCAAAGGTGTTGGACTGCTTTTAGTTCCTGATTTTCTCTGGATGGTTTACATAGTGTTAAGGAACACAGTGACTTTTTCCTAGCAACCGATTTACCAATTTGTCTCTCCACACCTCAGAATTAGTAGAACCCAGGGTATGGCTGTTTTTCCCCATGCAACTTTCAGGAGAGCCGTTCCTGCCTGGAGGCTTAGCTCAGATAGAGCACAGGCTGAGGACCAGCTAAAGTTTCCTGGTATGTGAGCAAGTAGTCTGAATGCTCAAGGGCAGCAGGTAACTTTGAAAGTGAACCTGGACTAGCTGCCTGTTTAAATAGGAGAAAATCACTCCAACCTACTGCCCCCTCAGCTGCACCCAGGGGAACCTCTCTCCATTCTGATGCCATCAATAGCACCTACCAAATTAGGCTATTAGGGGCCCACATCGTGCTTACATATCCTGTAAGTCAGTAGATGCCATTGCCCATACAGGTCCTTTGAAACTTTAGATGCCTTTTAACACAGCAAAGGTTAAATATCATGACAAACTACGATGACAATGGAAATGTAGGATCCCCAGTGTACTTTTTTTTTTTTTTTTTGCAAAGAATCCCCAGTGTACTTCTTATTCCTGGCAGGATTCAATGAAATGAAATTCCAGTACAACAAAGGAACTTTGCCACCTCTTTAAAATCTTCTAAAATGAGATTTGGGGGTGGGGGGCTGTGTTAAATATGAGTCCCGTGGGTTGAATTCCAGAAAGTTCAAGGAAGCCATTGAAATGGCACGAACACACACAGCATTTCAACCGCAGAGCACAGCTTCTCGAAAACCAAACAGCCATCAGCTTGCCTAGAACCCAGGTGGGAATTCTGGTCTTGAATCAAACCATCGGAATTCCAGGCAATCAGGAATCTCCTTCGTTCTCAAGCAAAGAAGGCTGGAGGTCAGTGTGCTCGGGGAACGACGCGGGCCCTGGGACAATCCTGGTATGGTCAGAAAGCCACGTTATTTTTTTGTGTTTTATGAAGGAAGAGGGAAGCTCTACCAGGACCCCCACGCCTCACTCACAACACAGCCCAACACACACAGTTCACCCCAAGAGAAAAAGACAAACGTTCCCCCCCCACCCCAAAAGTGCCTTTATTCAGCTGTGAGACTCACCTCTGGTTCAAAATAGACTTCTAACTTCTGTGTGTTGGGCACTAGTCTCCCGTATCCCCGGCTCAGGAGAGAGAGCGTGGGCATGTTTCCCTCAGGCCAGCCCTTCTCAAGGGCAGCTCGTCTGGTTTTGAAGACTGAAAGCTGTTCACACCTCGCGATTTCCAAAGCTCAGCGGCGAGCCCAAGAAGACCACAAACACTGGGTCTTTTATTAAATACATTTTCCCCCTCACAGACGCTTCTTAATAGCAACCAGCCTCACGGTTTAGACAGTGCGGGTCTTTGTCGAGAGAAAAAAATAAACCGCGTGCCCAGACTCCTCAGGCCCTGGGCTGCAGGGGTTCTGGGCAGCCTCCCTCAATCCTGTGCCCAAGCCCGTGTTGTCCCTTGGTCCTGTTGCTCTGTGACCCGATCTGCAGATCTGGGCCACTGCTTCATCCTTCTTGCTGTGAGCGGAGGTTGTTTCCCAGTTGCTATGGCAGCACAGGGAAATGAAGTCCCTTAAACCACCAAAGCAGGCACGGCCTGTATCTCCCAGGGTGTCTCCCAGGGCTGGGGGGGCGGGGTGGGGCACTGAGGGGCCCTGGCTCAGGTTGCGAGGCCCGGTTGCGTGCGGTGGGGGCCCTCTTGGGGGACTTTTTCTGTGATTGCTCTCAGCTTGCATTTGGAGAGTGTCTTCCCCTTTCTCCTGATATGTGAGCCTGCCACTGTCAACTAACCAGGAACAGACTCAGGGAGCCGTCCTGGTCACCTGAACCACCTGTGACTTTTTCCTTGGCTGAGTTCCAGCACCCCCCTGGCTGGGCATGATGCCTCATCCTGGGAGCGGTTGCTGTGCATGACTGAGTGGGGATACTGGGGTCTCTAGTTCTCTCTGCATACCTTGTTCCCAGCTGGGCAACTCCCATCTCGAGAGGTGGACCCTCGGAAAATGTGGATGGGGGCATTTTGACGGGATCACTGCTGGCATTTAGCAAGCAGAAGCCCCAGATACTACATGTTCTGCAGGGTGTGAGACAGCCTGGCACTCTGAAGACACGTCCCACGGGAGGGCCAGTAGCACCTCTTTGAGAAACACAGCTATGGTCTGGGCCACTTGGTTCTTTTTGATGCAGACACTGTGAGGAGCACAGAACAGAAGAGGAGAGGGCCAGGGAACAAAAAGATCCCTTGCTGGTGATCTAGGACCCTACTTTGACCTGGAAAAGCAAGCCACCCTGTCATCTGTCAGTTGAGCTACACGGGCAGTCTCATGGGAGTGCCCCCTGCTGGCCTGTGTGAAGAAGTACCACAGGCTACCGGCTCACCTTTTTGATCTTCCCGTGACACTTTTGCCTGGGCAAGCTCAAGTCTTCTGAGGGATAACTGGAGGTCATGTTGTAAAATGAGAAGGGTTTATCATGGGAAATCGAGACTGAGAATGCAGAGGCTCCAAACGGAATTTAATCAAAACCACAATGAGATACCACTTCACACCTACTACGGTGACTATTGTTAAAAAAGAAAGAAAGAAAGAAAATGCAGGTGCGGTGGCTCACCCCTGTAATCCCAGCACTTTGAGGCAGAAGGATTGCTTGAACTCAGGAGTTCCAGAACAGCCTAGGCAACATAATGAGACCTCCATCTCTAAAACAAAAACAAACACAAAACAAAACCAAATAAAACGGCAAATTAAAACAAGCAAACAAACAAAAACCAGATAATAACAAGTGTTGGTGAGGATGAGAAACCTGGAACCCTTGTGCATTGCTGGAGGGAATGCAAAATGGTACAGTCTCTGTAAAAAAAGGGATGGCAGTTTCTAAAATTAAACATGGAATCACCTCGTCCAATTTTGTTATATACCCAAAAGAAGTGAAAGCAGAGTCTCTACAAGATATCTGTATACCCATGTTCAGCACAGCGTTACTTGTAAGAGCCAAAATGTGGACATAACCCAAGAGTGCACTGACAGAAGAATGGATAAACAAAATGTGGCATATCCATACAATGGACTATTACTCAGCCTTAAAAAGGAAAGAAATTCGGGATACATACTACAATGTGGTGAGCCTTGAAGGACAAACATTGCATGATTCCACTTACACGAGGCACCTGGAATAGTCAGGCTCATGGAGATGGAAAGTAGAGTGGAGGGTGACAGGGGCTGGGGGTGACTGGGAGGGAAACATGGAAAATTAATGTTAAATGGGTCCAGAGTTTCAGTTTGGGAACATGAAGAAGTTCTGGGGGTGGATTCACAGCAACGCGAATGTGCTTAACAGAACCGTAAACTTAAAACTGGCTAAAATGACAGCTTGGGAACATAGTGAGACCTCGTGTCTACAAAGATAAAGAATTAACCAGGTTTGGTGGCATGTGCCTGTAGTCCCAGCTACTCAGGAGGCTGAGGTGGGAGGATTGCCTGAGCCCAGGAGTTTGAGGCTGCAATGAGCCATGATTGTGCCACTGCACTCCAGTCTGAGTGACAGACTGAGATCCTGACTCAAAAAAAAAAAAAAGATTAAAATGGTAAAATTGAGCTGGCACAGTGACATGCACCTATAGTTCCAGCTACTTGGGAGGCCAAGGTGGGAGAATCACTTGAACCCAGGAGTTCGAGGTTACATGAGCTATGATGAGCACCACTGCACTCCAGACTGGGCAAGAAACCTAGTCTCTTTTAAAAAAAGGTAAATTTATGTTATATATATTTTACTACAGTTAAAATATTTTCAATTGTATAAGCAAAAAAGGAAAATCCTGAATTTAGCACTTCGTACTCCAAAACCCATCGGTCAGCATCACCATAAAGTGAGTGACCTCACAGCAGGTGAGACAAAATCCTACAAAACCCAGGGTCCAAATAGTTTGCAGGGTCTACAGTTGCTCCCTCCCTCCCTCTTCCCCAGTCCTTCAAAGTGCAAAAAGGACCCTTCGGCAATTTACTGGTAGATTAGAATATCCGAGACTCAACTCCTTGGCTCAAGGATCCCTGATACCTGAACGAGGATGTGACAGTCACGTCAATGGAGGCAGAGTTAACTAGGTGCTCCAGGAAGACAGGTGAGGGTGTGTACATGGTGGAGATGACAGGTGGATGGCGGTGGGCACGTGAAAGGCTGCGAAGATGTGGGACATCAGAGGTGGGCGGTCAGGGACAGTGGTGTGCTGGGAAGATGTGGGAGGATGGTGATGAAGGAAGGGGATATTGCAGAGGCAGGGACGGGAAAGTTCTCTGAGGAAGGGGTGGCTTCTCTGGTGTGGCCAAAGCCTCAAGTCACGTGGACCAAGATGAGATTGGAGGGAACAGTCAGTGGACGGAGGCATTTGGGATTTTAATCTTAAGGTAGGTTTTTTGTTTTGTTTTGCCTGTTTGCTTTGGGAGTTGGACTCTTACTCTGTCAACCCAGGTTGGAGTGCAGAAGCATGAGCATGGCTCACCGTAGCCTCAACTTCCTTGGCTCAGGCAAGCCTTCAACCTCAGCCCCCAAGTAGCTGAAACTACAGGCAAGCATCGCCACGTCTGGCTAAATTTTTGATATATGGTAGAGACAAGGTCTTGCCATGTTGCCCAGGTTGATCTCTAGCTCGTGCTCAGGCAATTCTCCCACCTCGGCCTACCAAAGTGCTGGGATTATAGGCCTGAGCCACGATGCCCAGCCCTTCCGGTAGGGTTTTTAAAGCAGGGGATGATGGGATTCCATCTGGGTTTTGGGAAATACCGCTCTGAGAAGCTTCTGAAGGATGGAAGCAAGAAGGAATCCTTAGCTCCTAAACCTCTGGGCGAACCTTCAGAACTTGCAACCCAGGCTGGTCATCTTCCCTGGGATGTGCACGAACTTGTCGGATAGGTCAGGAAAACTCATTAGCTAAATGGCCTTTGAGTGCCACATAGGAGGGGACTGCGTGTCAGTTGCAATGGAAAATAAATCTTAGCTGGGCTCGGTGGCTCAGCCTGTAATCCTGCGCCTTTGGGAGGCTGAGGTGAGTGGATTATCTGAGCCCGCGGGTTCGAGACCCGCGTGGGCAGCAAGACCTCATCTCTACAATAAATCAAAAAATCAGCTGGGCATGGTAGCGCATGCCTGTAATTCCGGCTACTCGGAAGGCTGAGGTGGAAGGATCGCCGGAGCCCAGCAGGTCGAGGCTGCGGTGGCCGGGATCGGCCACTGCACTCCAGTCTGGAGCGATCGAGGGAGACTCCAGCTCAAAAAAAAAAAAGAAAGAAAATAAATCTTTCCGCTCTGAACATGCCAGTGCTCAAGAAAGAGCAGAGGTGCCCAAGAGGGACTTGGTGGGGCCCGAATGAGAACCCCTATTGGTAGCTGAGGGAATCCTCCTAGTTCTTCGCCTGGACCTTCTTTCTCTGAGCTCACCTGACTTTACAGTGTGACCTCAGCCATGCACAGTGAATAAGCGCCTCAAGAAGTATTCCTTCCGAGTCTGGGTCAGGTGAACATCACACCCGGGAGATGCCTAGGGTCCACTGGGTCCTCTCAGCGCCGTGGTGGGGCCACCAGGCCTTGAGGGGGCGTCATCTGAGGAGCCAGACCACAGCCCGGTGGGGGCCTCTCCAGCCCGTTGTGTTTATGTCTATACTGTTTAATATGGACACTGAACAGATCACAGATCAATTAATAGGCATTTAAAAGCATTTACTCAGTCCCACAGCAGTTTACGGAAAGTGTATTTAGAAAGCAATCGAGGTTATTGCTCCTCTAAAGTGCTTGGGGATCCCAGATGAAAGGCCTGTGGAACTGCAAAGTATTTATAACTCCAGAAGAACCCTCCACACCCATGTTATACAACACCGGCCCATCTCCCGGCACGCCTGACCTGTCAGCCCAGGCCGCACGTCTGTTTGAATTACTCTGTAAATCCTGCAGGGTGGAGACCATGTTGTTACGGTTTGTAGGGCATCATGAATAACCATGGCACTCCGTAAATAAATGGAAACCACATGAAACAGAAAGTGGAGGCTGTTCACTGGCCACATCTCCAGCACACGTTCAGGAATTTATCCCTTGTTTCGAAGTGTCACCCTGGAGAATTGGCCTATGTGATGGAGTCGGAATCTTCATGTCCCTTTAGAAAGAAGGGGAA